ACACACACACAATACACACACACAACACACACACACACACACACACACACACACACACACACACACACACACACCGCGCGCGCGCGCGCGCGCAAATCACCCACAAAGCATCACATACCGGTAAACAAACACCTACAACGTCACAATAACAATAATGACAGAATAATGTGGCACTTTTATAGCGCTCAACCCCGAATAAAGTGCACATGCTCTGAGCGCTGTACAATACAATAGCAACATAAAATAAACAGTACATTGTGTTCTGACCAAAAGAAAATCTCTAAATACTTATCTCACTGATATTTTGATTTTTTTTAGTAGAGGTTTTACAGCTCTCGCAACTGCATAATGTCATATGACCGCTAGAAGACTAGAGTGTTACAAGAGAGTAACAAACATTGATTTGTCTCTTTTTTTCTAAAAGATGTAAAAACAAAATAGTCACCTACGTGTCTTTGGCAATGCCGAGGTCGAGCGAAGGCACCCCGTACTCCTTGAGCTGAGACAGTAGAGTGGTGCGGTTACTGTCCCTGATCGAGCCCTCTCTCAGGGGCGTGTCCGGGTCCACAAGCTGGAACACATAGACACACATAAACCACCACAAGTTGCAATTTTCAGTTTGGTAAACGTCGTGCGGAGCACAAAACTGCCTACGGTCATACGAGCGGGCCCACGGGTTTCAAATATAACTTCTCTTTTACCCAACCAACCCTTTTTTCCTTAAAAAAAACCCAAAACACTTCAGATTGCTTGAGACAAGGGTTTGTGTGCTTACACATACATTATATATATAGATAATATATAAAATGTGTGTAATCCTGTGAGAGTGTGTGTGTGTTTGTGTTAGTGTGTGTATGTGCATACGAGTGAGTGTACATATTTTTGTGTGAGCGTATGCGTGCGCGCATGTGTGTTTGTAAGCAAGTGTGTGTGTGTGTGTTTGTGTGTGTGTGTGTGTTTTGTTTTTTTGTTGTTGTTTTTTTTTTTTTTGGGGGGGGGGGGGTTGTGTGTGTGTGTGCTTGTAAGCGGGCAGTGCGTGCGTGTCTGTCCTTGAGTTTGTCTACAATAGTCCCATACAATCAACTATAACCTACTTCTAGTAAGTTTTTTTCCTGCACAACGCTTCCAGAGAAAGGCAAAAAGATAGAAGGCGATAGACGCTTTACTGCCGCAAGGTAATTCCTGTGTGAGACGAAATTTTAATCGAATATCTCGCGGTCTCTCTTCTGGGAAGTTGCACCCCTCTCATCCAGGACTGGGGCTGACAGGTAGGGTCAAAACTCACCTCCTAAATGAACTAAATTGTGTCATTGGGGGAAATAAAAACAACCACATAATCCTGTCCACCCAGTAGTAATGGGTACCTGACTTCGAGTAGGGGAAGTAAAGGCGGCGTGGAAAGGACCTGGCCACCCTACCATAATATGGCCCAGGAAGATGTCTCACTAACAAGGCAATCCCAAATATCCGGATCGGATGCGGAAACAATTTTACGTTACATATATTTTTACTTTCAAAGACCCAACTGACCGTACCTCGTTCCCGGTGGACATCACCCCCACCACAGGCATCCGGTAGCAAGGGACACTGGTTACTCCCACAGTAGCCAACAGGCCCAGTTCCGCAGGCCCCAAGCGCTGGCCTTCACACAGGATTTCTTGCCCCTTTTCTATGTCGGAGCCCACGGTTCTGAAACGGAAAAAGATGATAGGTAGGTAGGAGGGTGGGTAGGTAGGTAGGTATTCACACACACACAC